TTTATTTAAAAAGCAGAAACTTCTACAGCAGGGGTGTCAAATTCAATTTTATTGAGGGCTGCATCAGAGTTGTGTTTGATTGACCTCAGGGGGGAACGGTGGGAAGGCATGGCCAGGATGAGCATGGCCAACTCGACGTCATTCGTGTCTGGGGCGCCTGTGGTGGTCCGAGTGCCTCTGCCAGCACAAATGGGCTCCCGAGTTCCGTTTTCAGCTGCGACAGCCTCCTGCAACCCTCTGCCAGCAAAAATAGAGCTTGGTAAGGCCGTGTGTGGCCCTGCAGAGCTCTGTCTTCGCTGGCTGTGGCACCGCGGACCGGTCCTTCATTGTTTCCAGGGTGGCCCCATGGCCAGATCTAAGCACCCTGTGGGCCAGATCCAGCCTGCAGGCCTTGAGTTTGACCCCCACTATTCTACAGAGCCTGGCTTCAGAGAAACAGGCTAGGCTAAAATGCAATTGGGTAAGGATTAAGTTCAGCACACTGTCGGTTAAGTTTAGCAGTTGTCGGTTCTCTCGAAACCATGGGTCATCCTGTAATGCTGTAATGCTTAGGGGACTGGAGGCTAAAACGTACGATGAACGGCTACAGGAACTGGGCAGGGCTAGTCTAGGGAAGAGAAGGACCAGGGGGAGACAGGATAGCAGTCTTCCAATAGTTGAGGGGCTGCCCCAGAGAGAAGGAAGGGGTCAAGCTATTTTCCAGGGCAGCCGAAGGCCAGACAAGGAATAATGGATGGAAACTGAACAAGGAGAGATTCAACCTGGAAACAAGGAGAAACTTTCTGACAGTGAGGACAACCAACCAATGGAACAGAAGTTGCCTTCGGAAGTTGTGGGAGTTTCATCACTGGAGGCTTTCAAGAAGAGTTTGGACTGCCATCTGTCAGAAATGGTGTAGGGTCTCCCGCTTGGGCAGGGGGTTGGACTAGATGACCTACAAGGTCCCTTCCAACTCTGATTATCTGTTATCTGCTTCTGTAATAGCCCGGGGTAATGCTGCTACTTGAGCTCTTTCTCTGGACCTTTCTGGTAGTATTTGCTGCTGCAACCCTACGGCCAGCATTACGGCCTGGAATAGTTCGTCCCAATCTCCCCGCATATTGTGGTTTTCTGGAGGATGCATCTGTTAGGAAATTTTTCCCACTTCTAACGCAAACACAAAATTGAAATGCCGGAAATATAGTGCCCATCTGACTTGTTTTCTTCCATTAAGTGGGGAAGGTGTTTGACCAGAACAGAGAGTAGAAGCTGATCTCGGGTTACTTTGGGTGAGACCGTCTCAGCCCAACCTACCTTATAGGGTCGTTGTTGCTGCAGGGAACTAAGAGCAAGGGTGCTTCTTTGAGCCTCGGCATGATATGGAGATCAAATAAATAAACAGTTTAGCTATCACAGGCTATAGATGTCTGCTGTACCATTTGCTGGTCCTACCATGGTTGAAAGATCCAAGCCATGGTGCTTTCTGGAGAATCTCTCTCAGGAGTCGGTCTTTGCTAATTAATTTCAAAGCTCCAACAGCACAGGAAAAAAGGTGACTTAACACCTGGTCTTCTCATTTGCAACCTTTGCAGCATCCCCATGGTCATGTGATCAAAATTTGGGCACTTGGCAATTGATTCATGACGGTTGCAGTATCCAGGGGTGACAGGACAACTTTGGTGACCTTCTGACAAGCAAAGTCAATGGGACAGCCAGGTTCACTTAACAATGACGTTGCTAACTTAACAACTGCTGGGATTCACTTAACAACTGTGGCCAGGAAGGTTGTAAAATGGGGCAGAACTCCCTTAACAACTGTCTTGCTTAGCAATTGACATTTTGGGCTCAGTTGGGGTCGTAAGATGAGGATTACCTGTATGTTAAGCAGAGGAAGTTCCCTGGTGACTTTCTCAGCCAACCTACCCCGCAGGGATGTTGTCATGGGGCAAATTGGGGAGTGGGGGATATATCCCTCTTTGGGGGTCCTGTCATGTTGGAGTCTGAATCCAAGGAGAAAGATGAACAGCTGACAGGGAGTGGGAGTGTGTCTCCGTTGGCTGTGGAGGGAACTGGGGAAGGGCAAAGCCCAGCTGGGCAGAGCAGGGGAGTGGTAGAAAAAGGGAGAGGGGGTTCAGAGGAAGACCCAGACCCACCCCCTCTTCATCCTAGGGCACGCAGGGAGGAACGGAACAGAGCAACGTGGGTTGCATGGCTTACAGGGGAGGAAAGGGCCCTGATTCCCTTCATTAGCCACAGCTGGGAAGGGAGTTTAAAAGAGAGGCAACTGAGCACAGTGTATTCTGGGAACAAACGTGAGTTTATCTTGTGTTGACTCTGGTTATCCGTGGTCCTGGCATCCTCCCAACCGTGTTGAATTACGGCCGTTCCTTCACATCTGGAATTCCTTCTCTTGCCCTGCCAGACTAATTACCTCATCTTGCCTTGTTTGGACTTTAAGTTACAGTTTTTGTTGACCACATTTTGGACTTGATTCTCTGCAGCCAAAGGCTGTTCCTGGGAGAGTTTTTCTCCAGCCAGAAGGTAACCAGGACATTGGGGGCAAAGTTGGAGCTAATAAAGGGACTCCTACTGATTATCTGACTGTGTTGCCTTTGTGCCACGCCCTGGGTCATCATAGGTCCTGGTGGAATGCCAAGATATACATACATACATATACATACATACATACATACATACGTGTATAGTATAAAAAAAGTATAAAAAAACTTGCATCTGGGGTGTCTAACTGTGGCAACTTAAAGACTTAGGATTCATTTCCCAGAATTCCCCATGGTTGCCTGGGGAATTCTGGGAGTAGAAGTCCGCAGGTCTTAAAGTTGCTACAATTGGTCTTGCAACTAGGCTATTCTTCCTATTTTGCCTGCCAGATTTTCCCATACAAATCCATTGTGTCTGCTTATTTTGACTAGCTTGCACTTACTCCTCCCAAATGGATTAAGATCATCCATCAATATTTGACAATGACCTCTGTGAATGTATGAACCCAGACTGTAAGAATCACAATAAGGCTGTCGTGACAATCGATTCTATCCAAGGCAGGCAAAGACGTGCTAGTGGCAGGTAGCAAGAGCCCACTGATAAATTACTGTGGTAATTTATAAGCCAGAGTCGCTTCACTATTGGAAGGTTCCTGTGTGTCTGGAGCAAAAAAACAAGGGACATCCACTGATTCAGGGAGAAGAAAAAAACACGTGAAAGGGTCATGCCAAAGGTGCTTTTTTTAAGAGGCAACTGGACTTTTTCGTTTTTCTTTGAAGACATTTCGCTTCTCATCCAAGGAGCTTCTTCAGCTCTGGCTGGATGGTGGGGAATGAGCCCATCAAAGCTGAAGAAGCTTCTTGGATGAGAAGCGAAAGGTCTTCAAAGAAAAACCAGAAAGTCCAGTCGCCTCTTGAAAAAAACACCTTTGGGACAACCATGCCCTGGAGAGACTGAGCATCACCACAGACGTGTGAAAGGGTCATTCCGCCCCTCCGACTTTTTCAAAGCCTGAGAAAGCCTCTGACGCCCCTCCTCCTACCCAGGGCAGAAAGTCCGCAAAGGCTACATTCACACAACCCCCTTCCGTATTAACCTGACTGCTGGGTCTGCAGAATGCAACGGTCTGGGGTTTGCCCATCCCACCGCGGTCCGGATTTAGGCTTAGACTAACTTTATTGTCACTTTGAATGTACGCTAATTGTCATACATTAAAACGAACATTTGTTGCATATAGCTCTCGAAGGGTTGCCACCTCCAATATACACTACATAGATATGACAAAATCGATATATATAAACGTGAAATACCACTCACGTATCATCACGAAATCTCCAGAACCGTAAAGCCTACAAACTTGAAATTTGGCACGTATGTTCCTCTTGGCTTCTAGGTGTTCACTAGGAAAGGATTTTTCGAAATGACCAACTGAGAATTAATATTTCCTATATTATTATTATTAACCCGCACTCTGATGCTAAGAAGTTCTACTCCCCCTCCCCACCTGAAAAGAAATCTCTTCCAAATGCAAAACACAAGCAGAGGAGTTTCAGTTTCACAGCACCAAGCAGCTTTAGGACAGAACAGTTGAGCTAAGCCACACCCAGGCTCCTTGCTGTCTCCTTGCTCACACAACCAATACTCTTTCCGTTTCCAAACAGCCCTTAACTCTCTCACGCAGGACTGCTGGCCAGATGACTATGGATGGATGCTGGTAGGCAGAGGCAGAAATTTCCCCCTTCATCTTCCTCCCCCCAAACTAAGCCCGATCACGTAGTTACATAGCGAAGCACGGATATCAAGGCAAGTAAACAAATACATACAAAATTATGCATCCACCCGCATTTATTCCACGACACAGAGAGAGCCGTCCCGCGGCTGGAGGAGCGTGGCGGGGTGCGGCTAGGTGCAAAGAGTCGGGGATTCGCGCACCTAGCGCGGCTATCTAGCTCAGCGCTGCTTCGGGCTAATTGCTGGCCGGCAGGAGGCGCCGCTAAGCCGGCGCACAGGCTGCATGCAGCCAAAAGCGTCCCGCCGGCTGGCTGGCTGGCTGGCTGCGCTGGGAAAAAGCGGCAGGCGAGGCGACGGGAAGCCGTTTGCTGGGCTGGGCTGCGTGCGAGCCGCGGAGCCGGCCCGGGCTTGCGTTTCCCGCGCCCCTTCGCCCGGGGCCAAAAGCAGGAGGGCGATGCCAACTGGCAAGGCTCCCCAGGGCGGCGGCGGCGGCGGCAGGAGGGAGGAAAGATTTCACGGCAGCTGTTTTTAGTGCCTCCTCCTCCTGCTGCTGCTGCTAATTCAGCCGCAGGGACGAACTTTGGGCTATTTCGGCCGTGGCAGGGAGTCACAAGGCGCCCGGCCCTCCTGTCTAAGTTTAAGCCTCTCTCCGCTAACTCCTTCTTTACCTCCTTCGCTTCTTCCGAAAGTCGACCCAGCCCTGGGAGCTAAATATAACCGCCTTCCCCTTCCTCTCTTCCCTGCCTCTGGCAGGACCCTGCCCGGCGGCCGGTGCCCGAGTCGCCTTTCGGAGCCCGCCGGGACACCCCCCCCCAAAAAAAAAGGGGGGGGAAGGGGAGGTCGAGGTTTCCAATTGAGGGAAGGGGGGGTTCCTCTGAAACAGGGACCCCACCCCGCTTTCCTCGAGACCCCCGCCTCTTCTTTGCTCTGTAAGTGCCTTTTATATTCTCCTTTTCTTCGCCCCTGCTCTTTTTATTGGGGGGGGGGGGGTTTAAGGGGCTCTTGAATCTCATGGGGGCATTTTGGGGGGGGGGGCTCCTTCCCCTTTTGGGGGGGGGTTGGGGGAGAGCGCCTTTTTTTGGGGGGGTAGGGGGAAGCTGCGAAAGGGACTTACAACAGGGAAAGGGCATGGATGCCCTTCGAGGCTTGTGGCTTCTGGGTTGGGGCGGAGAGTGAAAGCCAATTTACTTTCCCTAAAGGATATTTGGAAAGACAAGCCGCTCCGGATGGTCCATCTAATCTCCACAGAGTTTGTCCCAAAAGGGAAAAGTTTCCAAAGCGGGATATAGGATGAAAGGAAGTGGTTCTTAATTGATAAAAAGGAGTTTTTGTGTTTCCTTTCTAAAGTCCTTTATCCCTCCTGCAGTGGGTGCTGACAAAGTGGGCTTTTGTCACTCACTCACCCCTTGGACCACTTAAGACACCAGGTTAGGGAAAAGGAAAAAAAAATTAAGGGAGCCCCTTAATTTAAATCCGAAGGGGTGTGTGCCCGAGCCAAAACTGTTTTTACTCTTTGCGTGGCAAAGTGAATGGAGTTTAAAAAAAGAAAGCGCCTGAAACTTCATATGTGCCACATCTGCCAGGAGAACGTATTTGTTTTTATCTGGGTTTTTTTTTTTTTGAGCTAATAAAAATCTAACACTGCTGTATAAGGAAGGTTTGTTTTCTTCTGATTTTTATCGCAGATTGGACAGGAGATTTTTTTACCATATGCACAGTGTGCATGTATACACACACACACTTGCATAACTTGCCTATGGTCACCCAGTAAGTAACGTGGGCATATATAGACATTAGAATAACAGAATTGTTCTGTTCTGTTCCATATTCTATTCTATTCTTTTCTATTCTTTTCTTTTTTATTCTATTCTATTCTATTCTACTCTACTCTACACTATATTCTATTCTATTCTACTCTACACTATATTCTATTCTACTCTACTCTACTCTACTCTACACTATATTCTATTCTATTCTAT